GGGGGGCCCGGACGCACCGCTGGCAGCGTGGTCCGCGAGGCAGGAGGTGGCGCCGGCACCGCTGCTGCCGTGCTGGGCGGCTGGAAAAGGCTACGCGGCATGGGCCGAGCCGAGGCCATGGCTGCCTATCTGGCTCTCGCGGCGCAGTGTCCAGGGTTCGGCGCTGCTCGGTATGACGTTCTGGAGCTGAGCACGGTGAGGGGGAGAAGGGAGAGGGGGACTCTCGCGGCCCAAGCCCCGCACCTTTGCCCCAGAGCCACAGGCCTCTGTCGTGGGTCACTTCACTCCCCACACCCCGCACAGCTGAGCATCAGCCCTCGGGCCAGCATCTCTGAGGAGCCTTGACCCCTCCACACACGCACTGTGGATCACAGCGGGGATAGGAGCCCAGTGATCACAGCCATCTCCCCACCACCACCACCAAAAACAATGCCGCAGGGTCCCCTCCTCCTGCGCTGACTGGCTGTCTCTCCCAGGAGCATGGTGGGGGCGCTCCACAGAAGCTATGCCTGGGCCTGGGAGCCAAGGCCATGTCCCTCTCCAGACCCGGTGAGACAGAGCCCATCCACAGTGTCAACTATGGCCATGTGGCCGCCTGCCAGCTAATGGGCCCTCACACCCTGGAACTGAGGGTGGGAGAGAGCCAGCTCCTCCTGCAGAGTCCCCAGGTGAGTGGGGAGGGGCTGTGGAAGGAGGAAGGGATGTCAAGAAACATTTATTAAAAGCACAGTGTGGACAGCAGTGATCAAAGATAAGCTCAGGAGGCTCACATAGAGTTGGGCTGTCAGACACCACCACGGACTCAGACCAGTGAAGACAGTGATGAATGCCACAAAGAACAGAAAGGGTAGTGAGAATGATGAGAGGGGCCGTGTGGCTAGGGAGGATGGTCAGGAAGGTGACACAAGCTTGCCACGGAAGACTTGCGGGAACAGCATTGTAGGCAGAGAGAATTACTCGCTCCAGGGCCTGAGAGAAGAATGAAGTTGGCTTATTGGAGAAGCAGAAGAAGCCATGTAACTGGCACAGAGTGAGTGGGCAGAGAGTGGTGTGAGGCCGGAAAGGTGGAAGGGGCAGCTCATGCCAGGCCTTGGTATGAAGCTGGAACCCAAGGACTCAACTGGGTGGAGGATTAGACAGAGAAGAGAGCCTGCTGGCCCCTGTTGCACTCTGACCTCTGCCCTCTCTTAGGTGGAAGAGATCATGCAGCTGGTGAATGCCTACTTGGCCAACCTCTCTCCTGAGAGGCCTCGCAGCAGCTCTTCTCCATGCCAAGACCTGCCAGACACCTCCCCTCCCAGCCAGCATTCGGGCCTGGACGAGCCCCAGGGACAGTCTGGCTGCTTGGAGCAGCTGCAGGACTGAGCCTGCCAAGAGGTCACGACCTCCCTCCTGCCTCCAGCCTGGACCCAAACTGCTCTGAGATTTGAGGGAACTATGGACTCTTTTGGCCCTGCAGGGACAGGGCACACCCCATACCCAAGGCCTGCAATGGATGCAGACAGTTTTCTAGCTTGTTTCTTAATTTATTTGTAGAAGAGAAGCAAAAAAATCCTTATTTACACAAACCCTTCCTGTGGGAGTGTTGTCAGTGCGACAAGTTGGAGCCCCATGGCTCAGGGCTCCACCCCTGGGGACGCCCACACTCAGGGCTTTTACCAGCACAGTGGGGAGTCTGGACACCACAGGGCTCCACCCTCCTTGACCTTCTGGATTTAACCTCCTCCTGGCCTGTATGCTGCCATGGGTGGTGGGTGGGGCAGGCAAGAGGGTCATTTTGAAGCTGGCAATTACCCGCCCTTCTCCATTGTGTGGCATGGGGTGGCCACCTGGCGTCCCTGAAGCCAGAGGGCAATGAGTCATCCAGACTGGCACTGCCCGGGTCCTACCCTGGTATTCACCTCTGGGTCTTGGCTGGGTACATGTTTAGTGCGCCTGCTGCTTTGCTCTAGAGTGGAGAAAAGCTTGCAGCAGGATTCAGACCCTAGAAATCTGCACAGGGTGGGCTCAGCCCTGCTTTTGAGTTCTCTTCCTGCTTATCAGATTGTCTTGAATTGGGTTGAGTCCTGAAGCTCTGATGGCTTTGGGTGCTTGGAGGCAGGCACCCTGGCTTCCAGCCTGCTCAGGGTGCAGCAGGCCCTCCTGCAGTCTCTCCCACAGCCGCTGCCCTGAGTCAGGAGGCTGGGGCAAAACTGACCCACTGGAAAGGAGCTGGATACCGAGATAGCAGAGCTCAGTAATTCTCGGAAGTCTGGAGAGCATGGCAGATGCCAGTAAAACAGCCTGGCTCTCAGCAAGGGGTACAGTGGAAACCGGGAACACAACGTAACCTGGATTTCGTGGTGAGAAACTTAGAGCAGGGAACTAGGTTCATGAAAATTCCCTCATCCCCGATATCCGCAGACCAAGTGCTGACTATATGCACAACCAAGCTTCATTACTTTATTAGAGTTCAACAAGCATCTCGAGGAGCATGGAAGGGAGGAAGCAGGACCAGTTCCTCGGTTGGCAATGAACCTAGAAAGGCCAAAGGCAGCTTGGGTCAAGGGACCAGGCTGGAGGGGGCTGCTCTCACTGGCCAGGGGAGCAGCGGGGAGACAGTCACTGCTCCTGAGTGCCCCAGGAGATGTAGTCCGGCCGCGTGGCCGCGTGGTACTCGTCGATGAGCTCCTGCACAACCTCCCTGGACCTGTCCAGCTCGTCGAAGTTCTCCTTGAAGATGTCTTCCTTGCGGAACTGCTCCAGGAAGGCCTCCCGCTTCCGCAGCTTGTCGTACTGTTGGCAGGAGCTCTCGAATAGCTGAAAGAAAGGGGAATCTCCAGGATGGGGCCAGTTGAGGGCAAGAGGTTGGTGGGGACAGGAAGAACAGGATGGGGAGGACGCTGAAGGTGGCCGGAGCCACAGAAACCGGGAGACTAGCCTCACCGAGGAGATGCTGGTGTGGTTGGCCATCATGAGCCCGCTGACCCGGTGGGCCGAGGGCAGGTAGGGAGACTTCCTGGACAGGGCCACCTGGATGCTGGCTGGGCCCCAGGGGATGAAGTTGGCCAACTTCCTTTCCCGGATCCTCTGCAGGCTCTTGTGGACCTGGGTGGGCACACGCGTGGTGGTGGTAGCCTCTCCTCTACCCCTGCGGGGGCGGGGTGGAACGAAGGGGCCTCACCTACCTGGGTGGGGTCCACCTCGCCCTGGATGATGTTGAGGATGGCGATGTAGCAGTGGTTGGTCTGCCGGTCCCGGCCCGTGGACACCATCACGTTCTTGGGTTGCAACAGCCGCCTCATGACATCCAGGACCGTGGTCTTCCTCACGCTGGCCACCTGAGGGGACGGCGGGCCGCAGGGGTCAGGCTGGCACTCAGGGCACAGTGCAGAGTGGAGGCCACACCTGTCCCCCCTCAGACCCAGGGTGAGGTCCCTTTGGGCCTCTGCTGTAGGTCCAGGAGCCTTAGCCCTCCCCAGCCCAGAGAACTCAGGCCCTTGACAGGAGCCTAAGCAGGCCCCACAGAGCCCAGGCCCCAGGGAGCCAGGGCAGCTCCTGGGGCTGCAGGGAGGGGAGAGGCCGGGTCGGCCGCGGGGCTCAGGGGCAGCCCAGGCAAGGCCGACCGCTGGGGGCTGCTCTCACCGACTGGTCCGTGGTGAGGGGCGTGTAGCCGGTCATGAGGAAGTGCAGGCGAGGGGTGGGAATGAGCGAGGCGATGAGGCCGATGAGGTCGTTGTTCATGTAGCCGGGGTAGCGCAGGGTGGTGGTGCTGGCCGACATGATGGTGGACACCTAGGGACACGGCGCCCTGTTGTGGGCTTGGCCTGGGGGGGCCACCCTTCCCCAGAACGGGGAGCAAGGAGAGCCTCAAGTCCCTGAGAGTGCAGGTGTGGGGCTCACCAGCTGGTTGATCTGGGAGAAGGAGGGGTTCTGGATGTGCAGGCGGTCTGTGGCGATCCTGTTCAGGGCTGTGTTGTCCAGCACCACCTGGGGGACAGCAGAGGGTCATGGGATCTTTTTGAAGAGAAAGGGGGCAGAGAAATAAGATATTAACCTCAGCCTCTCTCTAAATGCCCAAGTTGGAAGCAGGTTTGTTAATTTAGATGGAAAGTATTAAAATGTTGTCTCTGGGGCTTCAGGAGACACATTTCTACCATCCAGTGCAATAACCAAATATTTGAGTGCCCCCATGTGCCATGCGCTGCCCTGGCCCTGGAGATCCCATGGAGAGTACCGCTGGCACGGTCTCCCCGCAACGTTAAATATAAAACAAGAGAAAATAATAGTTACTGACTGAAATATGCACAAAGGAATTTGCCCTTGACTGGGTGGTCAGAGGCTCTGCTAAGAAAGTGACCCTTGAAGCGTGAGTGGGCATTAAGTAGGCTAAGTCGGGATCCATGAGTGGACAATACATTTCGGGGACTGCAAGTAACTTGGGCCACCAGGTATGGCTTGTTGGAACTTTGACCTCTGGACAGGGGCTGGGAAGGGCGGGATAGGCGTGTCTCGCTGGTTTGGGGAGGCAGACCGAAGCCCCCCACTGCTGTCTCCTGTGCTCACCACACAGTCTGCATTCTGGGTCAGCCTCTTGAGCGTGAGCAGTGAGTTGTAGGGCTGGACCACCACATCGCTCATCTCGTCCTGGTTGGGAAACACTGAGTAGGTCTGCACCAGCTTCTTGGGGTACCTGGGGGTGAGGAGGGAGAAAAGGGGGAAGGGGCCACAGTGATTCAAGAGCCCCCATTACTTCCCATCTCTGTCTCTTCTAGGGACAACAGGGGACATTTCTTTCCAGAGTTACCAAGCTCATATATAAAAGTGGTAAAGGCAGAAGTGACTCTTCAGGGCTTAGGACCCTAAAGCTTCAAAATCTCTAGACCTCCCCCCAACCCTCACCCCCCCTCTCCCTAGGCAAAGCCCCTTCCAGGAGCATTGCTTCCAAGATGTTCCCTGGATGGCCAGGATTCCTTCTTCTCTATGACTCAAAGGGGTAGGGGCAGGCCTTCTAGACCAAAGGAAAAGTGAAGAAAAGGATGGCTATTACCCAGGAACCAGGGCTACTGCCTCTCCCCAGCAGAGGCTTACCTGTCATTCAGTCGCTCTAGAAGGTAGGACCCCAAGCCAGAACCTGTCCCCCCAGCAATGGAGTGGCATAGCACAAAGCCCTGCATGGGAAGAACAGAGAGACAGTCTTCAAGGATGGGGGTGGGGGGACAGGCTGCAGGCTTGTTCCATTCCCCACTCCAACACTCATGGCTCAAGGCTTCCTCTCTTCCAGGGCAGGAAACTCATGCCTAAGGAGCTGATGCCATCAGACCAGCACCTCCTTGAGGACAAGGACTGTCTCACAACATGCGCACTAAATGGGTTTTGAATGTAGTTGCCCCACACACCGCCTGTTCAGGCCATCTCCCAACCTTTCCCTAGCATGCTTCCCCTCCCCTCACCTCTAGGCTGTCACTTCCATCTGCTTCTCGGTCTATGATGTCAAAGATGTCTTCATGGATTTTCTCACCCTTTTAGAGACATGGGGAGAGAGAGCCCAGATTTTCTGGAAAACATCTCCTTATAGCACCAAGAAATCTAACCTGGGCCATTGCTGCCACCTTCCCCCACAAGCCCTGCAGAGCCTCAGCTGTGGCCCTCAGCTCAGAAATGGCACTATGCAGAATGATTTGCACAAAGTTTGCATAAACCTCTCCCTAGCTGTGCCTCTCCTCAGAGTACCCCTCTGTCTCTTTTTAACTGTCATTCAGGTCTGGTGAAATCCTCAGGCTGCTTGTGCCTTCCTTGCCCCAGGAAGGGAACACCAAGAGTCTCTGGGATGGCCACCTAGATACCTGGGAGAACCCGCTGGCCCAGTTGTTGCCAGCTCCTCCTCCGTGCTCAGACAGGTAGATGTTCTCTGGGTTGTAGAGCTTGGCATAGGGGGAGTTGAGGATGGAGTGGATCACCCGCGGCTCCAGGTCCAGCAGCACCGCCCTGGGGATGTAGTGCTCATCGTCTGCCTGCCAGGGGAGTCCAGAGGGCACCCCATCAGCAGGGGCCTGCCCGGTGCCCTGTCCTCCCAGCTCTGGCTCCTGCCTGCCCTCCGCCCTCAAGCAGCTGCCCAGGCCCTTCTGTCCAGAGCGGTTCCCAGACCCAGGCCGCTCGCTGCCCCTCCTTTAGGGCGCCGGGCCACTGCCGGCCCCGGCCAAGTCGCTGGGGGGCACCTGGTAGAAAAAGACGTCCTTGCGGTCAGTGCCCTCGGTGGCGAACTCCTCCACGATGCCCTCGGGGCTGATACCATGCTCGGCGCACAGTTGTTTCCAGAACTCGAACCCAACTGGGGGATGGGGAGAGACGCCTGGGTCTGCTAGAGCCTTAAGGCCTCAGGAGCTCAGGGTTGGGTTCAGAGTTGTCACACTCAGAGGCTGAAGCCAAGACGCCTGGGTCTGGAAGCTGTCACAGCCCAGGGCTGGGAGAGCGGCTCTCGCTCTGGGGCTCTGGGGCTCGGCTCATCATGCGCAGTGGGGCCGGGAAGTCTTGGACGGGGAAGGGGGAGGATAGAGGATGCCAAGCACCGGAGGGGCAGAACCGGAGA